TTTAGAAGGGGCAGAAACGCTAAGCTGCCCAGAAAAGGCTACTCAAGAAAGCCTTTTTCAAAATCGCCCTCTTTTCAGTGGAACTTTACCCCTTTATCAGGATTAGGGGTGTGCACCAAGGTAGGGTTAGGGTTAGAAAAACGAGGTGTCCTGGCATGGTTTTGATGGTTGGAATGTGTTTACATGGGGCAGAAATGCTGAGCTGTGCTTAAAAGGATACTCAAGGAAGGCTTTTTCAAAATCGCCCTCTTTTCAATGAAAGTTTAGCCGTATATTAGGGTTAGAGGAGTGCACCAGGGTAGTGTTAGGGCAGTGGTGGTGAACCTATGGCATGCGTCCCGCAGCGGTCACATAGTGCCCTATCTGCCAAGCCACCCCAGCATTGGCTCCAGCAGCAGAGCATAGGTTAGCAGCACACGTAGGGACCATGCGCATGCTCAGAAAGGAGTAGTAGCGCCAGGCAATGATGTCATGAGCCACAACTCATTAGCCGTGACTCGTCCGAGCTCTCGCCTGGCCAGTGAGTGCACTGCCAAGATTTTATATATATTTGCTTATACTGGCTGTGAGTTGTTTTTTTCTAAACTAAAACCTCAGTTTTCAGGTTTCATTGTAGTGTTGGTACTTTGTGATAAGTGTGTTTTGGGTTGCAGTTTGGGCACTCAGTTTCTAAAAGGTTCACCATCACTGGTATAGTATGTCTACTGAACATCAGGTTAGGCCATGTGTGATTAATGAAATGGACAATTAGTGAAAAAACTGGCAGACAACTGGATTTTTGATAGAAACAGTAACAGACCATTGACATAAAGAATGAATTTAAATTCTAAGCGATTATGCACAAGTATATGAATATGAACGTTTTGTTGGTTAGCACATGCTAAGCAACAAATATTAGTGGAGAAAGTGACACCCCTTCCTGCTATCTCTATTAAGTAAGTAAGAGTCAGAACCACCACCACTGCCCCCAACCCCACAAATAAATAAATAAATAAATAAATAAAGATAGATAGATAGATAGATAGATAGATAGATAGATCCTGGCTCTGTCTCCTGGGTTGGAATATAGAATTTTAACCCATTTCTGAAATTCTGTGAGAAAACCAAAAATATCAAAACAAATTTCTAACAATGTTTGTCAAAGGTTTTCTCTACATCCAGACAAACCATGAGAGCTGTATCCATTCTTTCCATATTTAGTGCAATCAGTTTAACAACCAGTCTGAGATTATCTTTATTTTTGATAGACCCCACTGTTCCATTTGGATTAGTGTACTATTAACTAGTTGTGATCTGTCAATCAAAATTGTGGTTCATATTTTAATAGCAACTTTAATGAACAAATTAGGTTTGTAGTTAGCACAGTAAGTGTAATCCCTATCAGGCTTAGGAATCAGAGTAATATATGTACTATTAAGTGCTGATGAAAGAAAAAATGATTGAAAAATAAGTTATACAGATGGTAAAGTTTTCAAACTAAAAGCTGGATTTTCATACACATGGAAGTCCTTCCAGTCTAGGTGATTTACCAGTTTTCATATTAATTATTGATTTCATAATGTCCTCTTGTTTGCAAAGATGCCAAAAGATCTTTATAGAATACCAGAACAGGGAAGATTGACATGAGAAAAGAAAATTTCCATATCCTGCTCCAATATTTCACTATATCTACTGTATAGTCCTGAATAGAATTGTAGAAATTGAGAGTTTATGTCTTCAAGACAAGTATGTATCTTGCCACTCTCATATTTAATAGCGTAATCATGTTTCAGTTGTTTTACTTTTTTAAAATGAATGGGCCAAAATCTTAATAGGGTGTTCACCATTTTCCCAATATGTCCATCTTAAACAAGCTAAATCAAATTCTGCATGCTGTAGAAGAATAATATTCATCTTATATTTGAAATGCTGTGCTGCCTAAACTTGTACTGTAGAAGAAGTAGCAAACTGTGTTATGAAATCTTTTAACCTTTCACTTAAAATTATTTGTTGCTTTTAGAAATATATTTTTTGGGGTGAAAGGCATAAGTGATTTACCTGGCTCTGGTTTACAGCTATCTTAGTTTCTCACTCAGTGGAGCATGAATTCATTTGTACCTTCATTGATTTAAAAATATTCTCATTGTTCCATAGAAATGTTATTTTTATAAAGATTATTGTTTAACAATGAAATTTCAAAATGCCAAAGACCCGAAGGCCTTGGCAAATTTTTGAGCTGTGAATCTGAACAAATGGGAACAAGATCTGAAATTACCAATGTTTCAATCTTGCAGTCTCTAATTTGACATACCAGACCATCTTATTTGTCTCTTGAGAAACCTATATGCGGGTCAAGAAGCAACAGTGAGAACTGGACACGGAACCACTGATTGTTTCAAAATTGAGAAAGGAGTTCGGCAAGGCTGTATACTGTCGCCCTGCCTATTTAACTTATATACAGAGCACAT